AAGCATTATGGCTGCACTTTTATATAAATCTTATTGTATGTAAAAAAAATTAGGTACTATAACACCAAGGTCAAGGGCTCAGATTCCTGTAACAAGCAGCTGCCAAATAAATAAATAAATATTAATTTGAAATGAATCACAGACCTTAAATAAGGAATTTAAAACTATAAAGCTTTTAAAAGAAAACAGGATATTTTCATGATCTTGGGGTAGGCAAAGATTTTTAGACAAAACACAAATATAATTATCCATAAATTTAAAAATAAATAAATTTGATAAATTGAACATCATCAAAATTAAAAACTGCTATTTATCAAAAATCATTAAGGAGGAAGAAAGACAAGCCACAGAGTAGAAAAAAAATCAATACATACATCCAGCAAAGGATTTACAACCAAAATAGATTACTACCACAAATAAATAAGAAATACAGTCCACCAAAATGGCCAAAATATGTGAGAACAGGCACATCACAAAAGAATATACCCAAATTGTCAATAAGCACACAAATGCTCCTCAGCATCATTAGTCATCACCCTGGAAATGCAAAGTAAAATCACAATGAGATCATATTACACACCCACCACAACAGCTAAAGTTGAAAAGACTGGCAATACCAAGGTGTGGAGAGAATGCGGAGCAACCAGAGCTCGGAAACATTGCTGGTGAGAGAGTAAATGGCATGACCACCGGGCACAAACTTTACAGCAATTTCTAAAATGTTAAACATACACCTATCCGATAACTCAGTAATTCCACTCCTTGTATAGAGAAATCAATATGTATGTACATAAAAAGACATGTGTATCTGCGTTTACTCACAATAGCCAAAAACTTGAAACAATCCAAACGTGCATCACAGGAGAATGAAAAAACAAACTGTGTTATATCCACACAATGGAACCACTGATAACGTGCAACAATGCGGATCAATTTCAATAATATTAGGTTGTGCAAAGTAAGCTAGACATAAAACAGTTGATGCTATTTTATCTCAGTGAAGTTCAAGAATAGGCAAAACTAAATTCAGATGATAAAAGTCAAGATAGTGGTTTCCTGTGGGTGATAAGGACGTGGGAAAAGAGACGGGGAACTTTTAGAAGTGAGTTCAATGCTCTATATCTTGATCTCAGTGTTAGTCATAAAGCGGTACCCTTCAGATTTGTGTATTGTAAATTATACCTCAATAAAGTACTGTCAGCAAAACAGTACTTCTGATCCAAAGTCCAGATAAAGATATTCATTGTTTCCCTTCGAGAGTAGGTGATTGTTTTCCAGTCCAACCTTTCCAATAAGGAATCCGATGCAATGCAGGCATTTTATGTTACTTAACTCCCAGTTCTTGTGGGGCCAGGGTCTCATCTGCTGGGTGACTGCAGAGACTAGCAGCCTCCCAGTATAGAGGCAGTGTCACTGCACCACCATAACACGGTATAGCGGTAGTGTCTGCTTACGCACTTCAGCCACTACTCTTCCTTTCTTGTTAGCTCAGCTATTCATTCATAACTATGCTAATTATATTGTATCCAATATATTCAGGTATCTGTAGCAAGAAAGTTTCCAAGTTGTCTTGATCATCATATTGCAAAACCACAAGTTTATCTATGTACTGTCTTAAAGTTTAAAAAAACCAGTAGTCGTAACAGGGAACACAGTTAGGGCCCTTCCAATGTGCCAGGGAGTGTTTGAAATGCTTTTACAGGGAATAATTCATTTAACATTCCCAGCAACTAAAGGAGGTGGGCACTATTACCATTTTAATGTTACTGTTGAAGAAACTAAAGCAGTTTAGATAACTTGCCCAGTGTCATAGAAAGACAGGGCTAAAATTTGGACCCAGGCAGTTTGGCTCTGAAGTCCATACTTCTATCTGCTATACTAGATTGCCTGTCCAAAAAAAAAAAAACAGAAAAATAATGAAGAGTAGATAGAAACATGTTCTGTTGTTAACAGTCACTCTCTCTGAGACATGGAAAAGGAAAGAAAGGGCTTTCACATTTTAATTTAAAACTTACACGTTGTTTGAGTTAAAATTTGGACCCAGGCAGTTTGGCTCTGAAGTCCATACTTCTATCTGCTATACTAGATTGCCTGTCCAAAAAAAAAAACAGAAAAATAATGAAGAGTAGATAGAAACATGTTCTGTTGTTAACAGTCACTCTCTCTGGGACATGGAAAAGGAAAGAAAGGGCTTTCACATTTTAATTTAAAACTTACACGTTGTTTGAGTTCCAGAATACTACTTCTGTAATTTTTTTTTAATTGCACATTTTTGGGAAACATTAGAAGTGGTAAATTAGTGTTGTGGGACTATAGATGATCTTTTTGATATTTTTCCTGTTTTATTTAATGTTAATTAAATTAAATAACAAAGTTAAAATAATTAAATAAATAATAAAGTAAGTAATACTTTAGCAATGGAGGAAAGCATATTAAAAAAGTTCAGTTGGTCTGAGGGTCGTGGATAATTGTTAAGCTGACTTAACTTTTTTTTTTTTTGGCAGCTGGCTGGTACAGGGATGATTTAACATTGTCTCCCCCCACAACCACATTTCACTAGCTTAAAAAAAAATAATTTGCCTTGTTTTGACAACAACTTTTATCAAGCTCCTCCTTCTATATGGTTCGGTAGTAACTTTACAGCAGAAACCTCAGCTTTTCTGAAATTTAATGAACTTAGATCATTCTCAAATAAATCTTAAAATGGAAGTTTACTGAAGAACTAAAACAAATTGTTCAAACACAGACTCAGTGGTCCTTCCCAGATTCTGCCCATTTCTGACCCCGTGAATGTAGATTATTGCTACAACTCCCAGACTCACCTCGGAGTAGGTTCTGTTGGAGACACTGCTCGATGCATCGTCATGGGTCTTGTGAAATATACCAGATAACCTGACAAAGGAGACAGTACATATGTACATAAGTGTCAATGAGCTGGACATGGGAAATCGTAAGGTACGACTGTTGATAGCTTTTTCTATCTTAACACACATGAGGGATAAGACACATTTGTATAAATAGCAAAGGCTTACAACTGCCATGATCTTTAACAGGAACAAAGGTCAGAATCTCCAGGATCCAGGATAGATGGGATGTATGTAGATTGGATAAAGACTTCACAGGCACATTATGTTTCCCTACTAGGGGACCTGTCCCCTGTTAAGGATCAGGGCTGTGAGTAAAGACTCAAATCTGAGCTTATGAGAATGAAAAAAATTAAGACTATCACTCTCGTGAACATTCTTAGGCTATATCCACAGACACTACTTCAGCGTCAGACCCTATAATACTACTACCAAAGTCTTTTTGAGTTGTCAGAAAATAAAACCAAAGAAAAATTTTGTGATGGAGATAATTATGCAGAATATATGACATTCTGATCTGCTCTCTCTCGAAATCTAGAATCAGAGAACCAAAAAGAAACCAACCTGCACCACAGAACCTCGCCCCAGAAGTTCTAGGAAAGGGAATATTGGCATCCTGGTATGACCCATAGGCAGTGGTCACCCGTGCAAATGTTGGTAAGGGTGGTGTGACAGAGTTTGGGAGTGCAAACGGGTTGCTGGAAGCGCTGTCTTCTTGGTTCTGAAATTTAAAAATCGATAAACTAAAAATCACAACCTGTCTCAAATCTGAATTACAAAATAACAACACAATACTACAAAAACCAGGGAGCTCATAATTTTAGGGAGAAAGAGATAAAACAAAACAGCCAAGCACAATTTCATGCTTCCCACCACAAAAGACTCGAGGCAAGAGACGAGCTGGCGCAGGCAGGGCTCCAAACAGCTCTGGTTGCGTTTCACTTTTTGCAGGGAAGTGTCCTTCAGGATCTAGAAGAGGCCCAAAATACAGTCAACAATAGCAGCATATTTCTCCTGATTGGCTTCCTGAAGAGTGCTTGGAAGCAGTGGTGATGCAGGGAAACTGGAACATGGTTCAACCTGAGGCTTCCAACACAACATACTACTTTCTACCTTCCCAGAAGCTCAAAGAGAAGGAGATTCATTCCTGAGCCTCCTAGGGAAGCCCTTTCCTTAGCCAAGGCAGGCACACGTGCTGGTTTTGAGAGGGCAGTTTCTAGTAATAGAAAGACTATTCTTTCTTTCTAGTGAATTCTGCCCCTTTCCTTTACCCCTCTCCTACCCTCTCCAGGAGAAATCTCAGCACCTTAGAAATAATACCCACTGGGCTGGCCCGGTGGCGCACTGGAGAGTGTGCCGCTTGGGAGTGCGGAGGCGCTCCCGCAGAGGGTTCGGATCCCATGTGGAGACTGGTTCCCGCTCACTGGCTGAGCGCGGTGCGGATGCGACACCGAGGGTTGCGATCCCGTTACCAGTCAGTAAAAAAGACAAAAAGGAAAAAAAAAAAAAAAAGAAAAAAAAAAAAAAAAAGAAAAAAAAAAAAAAAAAGAAAAAAAAAAAAAAAAAGAAATAATACCCACTGGGATGCATTGAAAATTGCTCTGAGTGGTACAAGCCAGGCGAAACAGATTTCACTTCAGTGAAAATTATATCTTTTTTTGTCCTTTAAAACTACAAAACCTAACATTTTAAGGTGCATGCTATAGGTATAAACTGACATACACACACTGAAGAATGGCATATAAACTGTACCTGCACTGTCTCTATCCACATGGGGATATTGAGAGCATGAAATGTCCCTAGTCCAAACTGAGAGGCACTGTGCATGTAATAGTCACAGTGAATGCTGAAGACTTAGTACCAAAAAAGAGTATAAAATAATTTCATATTGGTTATATGTTGATATGATAATATTTTGGATATACTGGATTAAGTAAAAATATTACTGAAATCAATTTATCTGCTACTTTTAATTTTTTTTTAGTGTGGCTACTAGAAAATGTAAAATTACATGTGGCCTGCATACATTTCTATTAGACAGGGCTAGCTGCTTGGCTGGCTACTTAGCTTGCTTGGTTAGAGTGTAGTGCTGGTAACACCAAACTCAAAGGTTCAGATCCCTGTACTGGCCAGCCACCAAAAAAAAAGGTAAATGACAATAAAAATACAATATATATATTTCTATCAGACAGCACTGAATTAGGCCTTTACAGACACTTCCTAATCCTATCACTTTATACCAGTAGAAAAACCTATCTTTGTTGTATGTCCAAACTAAGCAATGAAATATTCAGATTCCAAGTTCAACATGTCAAATAACACAAAATCTGAGTAATTAGCATTTTGGAGATCCTTAAGCCACTTGAAAAATTTCTGTATGACAACAAAATGGAACAATCAAGTGTGTATGATCCAAACTGGGCAAAAGATGACAATGTTCAGGTTTGTTTGGGTCTATCAGGACATTTCAGGTCCTTCGCTTGTGACACTGCTCAGACTGAAAAAGATGTGTCATCACCTGGCCTGATGATCTCGGGATAAACTGACACATCAAGTTTCTGAACCTGTAGGTTAAGGACCAGATGCTAGGCTGGGCCACCTCCATCCAGACACTGCTGTCCTTTTGTACACCTCGCCTGTGCAGCTTGCCAGCCTATCTCTAAGATAATATCAGCTCTTTTTATGGGATGGATTTTTTTTAAATGACCTTACACATTCTTCTTCTGGTTATAAAATATCTTTTAGCTTCAGAATACATCTTGCCTATTGTTTCTAGGTAAATGAAATTTATTGCAGGGTCCTTCACCTGGGATTAATGCATAGGTTTAATGAGATCTGTGAGCAGCTTACATGCACTATTTCTGAAATTCTATGTAACATTTGTGCAAATTTTTCTGAAGGGTCCATAGTGTTGATTAGACTTGCAAAGAAGGTCTGTGACCCAAAATGCTAGGAACCGCTGCTCTAATTAATGTTTTCTAAACAAAGTGGATGGCAACTGCAGCAGGTATACTGCTAACACCATAGTGTGTAAGGAAGAGATGACTTCCAAAATTTATCTATCAGAGTTTTCATTCAACTTTAATACTCAAAGTAGGTACTGAGGCACATAAACAGAGCTCTTGTCTTACAATAGCAAAGAGGATTTGGGAACCCAGATCCTTACCTTAAGCAGCTTAGCTTTCATGGTGGATGTGATGGTTGTGGGGTTAATAAACTGGAAGGAAGGCGCAGCATTGTTTGGGTACTGTGCAGGGAACTTCACCAGCATCTTGACGCGATGGTTGCTACAGTGCACAGACACTGTGCAGCTCCTGTCCGCTGCATCCATCTGTAAGAGTCATATCCACAACTGTTTAGGAGATGAACTGCAAAGCGTCTTTACATGCAAATGGATTTATATAAGCTGTCTGAATTCTCCATGTTCCTGGCAATTGTGTGAAGGAAAAGAGTCTACAAAGACAAATAAGTTTGGAAGACAATTCAATTTCAAAACAGATTTTTATTTTTATTTGTTTATTTTTATTTTTTTAAAAAAGATGACCGGTAATGGGATCTTAACCCTTGACTTGATGTTGTCAGCACCACACTCTCCCAAGTGAACTAACCGGCCATCCCTATATAGGGATCTGAACCTGTGGCCTTGGTGTTATCAGCACCACACTCTCCCAAGTGAGCCACGGGCAGGCCCTCAAAACAGATTTTTAAATTTTAGTATTGATTTAATAAATTCAAGGTATTTTGACTTAAAAAAATTTCATCCTAAACCTTGTTATATTTACTATGAGATGTGTAAATAAAGCAGGAAAAAGTTAAATAACCTGACTCAACTTAAAAAGTACTCCTGGGAAAATCAACACAGACAGAAAGTAGAGTAGTGGCTGCCAGGGGCTGGGGAGGGGAGGAATGCAGGGGTGACTGCTAATGGGTTTCTTTTGGGGGTGATAAAAATTAGACAGTGGTGATGGTTGTCCAACTTTGTGAGTATACTAAGAACCACTAATTGCACACTTTATTTTTATTTATTTTTTATTATTTGAATATATATATTTTAATTGTACACTTTAAAAGGATGAATTTTATGGTATGTAAATTACATCAATAATTTTTAAGATGTACTCCTGGAAAAAGGAATCAAGATCTCCTTCTTAAACTAGATCACTAGGTTGCCACACTGTTCTCAACTGGAACGAAGGGAGTATAAACTGAGTGATACAGATAACCAGTTCATCAAAGAATCCTTTATATGTTTTGATTTCTTGTGCTGCCAACTAGAGAAGGCAGCTGCTCAGTGGAAGGAACTACACATGTGGGAAGTCTGCAGACTTGGATTCAAATATTATTTCTCCCACCAAATAGCTGCTGACCTCAGACAAATCATTTCATCTCTTGGTGTCTCAGTTTCCTCATTTGTAAAGTGGGGATAAAACGACTTATTGCAGAGTTGTTTTAACGGCCAAATGAAGGGCTGGCCCATTAGCTCAGTTGGTTAGAGCATGCTGCTGATAACACCAACATCCAGGGTTTAATTCCTGTACCAGCCAGCCATAAAAAAAAAAAAAAAGAAAGGCCAAATGACATCATTACTCTGCCTACAGTCAACTGACTCTGGGCAAAGAAAAACTAATCAAGCTTTAAAACTCCTTCTTGAAGAAATACTCAATTCTCTGAAGAAAAGAATTTTGGTATTTGTCTCAACAGAAAAGAATCTAACATTCCACTAGCTAAGTGAACAAGGAAGCTTTGGTCACCTTCTTATTATGAATCTAAGTCACCAAGGAAATGACCAGCTTATGAGAGAAGAAAGTACAGCACAGCATAAAGAGACCTGGAGAGTTAAGAGGTTTGATTTCTAAAGTCAGCTCTGCCACTAACTTCACCAGTAACCCCTGCCAAATCACTGAGCCTTCTAGATCTAAGTATCTTCACCTGTAGTAAAATGAGGTGAAGGAGCACCTAAGGAGTTGTTAGAGCACAAGAGATCAGTTTATTCTTTGGCTCACCTTATGAGAAAAGAATAGGGTCATAAAAAAATCTGCATTTATAAAATACCTATTTCTTTTAAAAGCCTAGGAAATGGGCCGGCCCAGGTGGCGCACTGGATAGTGCGCCGCTTGGGAAGCGCGGCGGCGCTCCCATCCGAGGGTTCGGATCCCACATACGGACCGGCTCCCGCTCACTGGCTGAGCGAGGCGTGGGAGCAACGCCGAGGCTTGCGATCCCGTTGCCGGTCCCCGGTCCGGTACGGGGGCAACACTGAGGGTTGCGATCCGTTGCTGGACATGGAAAAAAGACAAAAAAATAAATAAATAAATAAATAAAAATAAAAGCCTAGGAAATAAGAAAGTAAGCAGAGACTTACCTGTTAGAGCAGCAAACTTATCTGCCAGCCATAATCATAGCTGAAATAGTCCCCTTCCCCACAAACTGCCATCAGCAAGCATGAGATACAGTTCATTAAACTACTAAGTACCTCCACATTGACATTCCGGATTTGCACATTGATCAGGGAGAACTCCTGCTGCAGAGTCTGAGGCAGTCCCAATTGATCTGATTTCCTCTCTTCCAAGAGATTGCTGGGGGGATCTTCCTTTAAGGCTAACAGGAGAGAGAAGTTCATTGTTCAAAAAATTTTTGAAATGGAGTCAGAGAGCAATTCTAGGGTCTCTACCACAACTCTGAAATGTGTACAGTGGCACCTTACCTATGACATCAGTTTGACAAATTACCTTCTTCCTCACCATGGCTTGAGTTGTGCTGGTGATCTGTATCTTGAGTGTGCAGGGTCTTCTCTGGTTCCGGCAGAAGAGAAATGCTCTCGATGAACTCATCAACACTATCTAATATGTCATTTGCGCAAAGCTGCAACAAAGGGTAGAAGATGTAGGTCTAGAGAAGTCAGTGGAAATGATCATCATGTCTGGTTAAAGAATTCTGACTTAAAAATAGAAATCACAGAAGACAGAGATGTGTCAGCCAAGAACTGACACAATCAAAATAGATCGAAATAGATTTTATCCTTCACCAGCTCTCCCTGGTTAAATACACAGCATAACACTTTATTAGTCTATGCTGGAAATTTTTCGTAGAGTTTAAGTAAGCCTCAGAAAAAATTAATTTAAATTCCAAGCCTTGAAGGAATTATTTAGCTAACCCAAGAGCAAGAATATCATAACCTCAAAGCATTTGGAGCAAATGGTAGTTTTTGGAGAAAACAGATTGAAAAGGCAATAAGGTGATGAGACTGGACCGAATGCTCAAGAGTGACTCCATACTAAGCAGCGTTACAAATTTTACCCAGCATTTTCTATCCAGTCTGTGCAAAGCAGTGTGCCAAGTGCTATGGGGGACACAATACAAGTGAGACACGTTTCCCACCATCAATGAATTTAGCCATTGAAGGAGGAGAAGACAGAGTCCATGATGAGGCAGAATAGAGCAAGGGTCACAAAAGCAGTTCATACTAAGTACCACTATGGCCCACATAAGAAAGATATCATTTATGGGGGAAAATTGGAAACAGCTTCATAGAAGAGGTGCTGTTGATGGATGTACGTGACTCTGAACATTTGCACAGTACAATGGTAGGCTTCTTAGCCCATTTAGAAGAGAAAGAAATGAAGCCCACAGGCTTCAGGATAGCTCAGTATGCTACCCAGACTATCTTATACTAGGACAGGAGAGAGAAAAGACATTTCAAGGCTTTTTGGCCTTTCAGTGCTGAATACTGAAGTTGGCTCTTAAAAGACCTCAAAGCCTCAGTGTGGCATGCACATGCCACTCGGCCAACAAGCAAGTATGTATTAAATGTCTATCATGTACCTGCTAACTTCCACAAATGCTGAATCTTACATTTTTGGGTTAAGTTTCTATTATATCCAGTTACAGTCCTCCACAACAGCATCAAATACATACCCTCTGCATCTGAGAATCCACCCGCCACATTCTCAAGGTCTGATCCCGGGACCATGTAACCAGTTGGTAGTCCTTGGATCCTAGAAATCACCAAATAAGAATCCTGGAAATTCTTCTGGATTCAACATCCATTTCGCTACAGGTTGCAATGGAGTGAGATTGATCCATCCATCCATCCATCCATCCATCCAATAAATATTTATCTGAACATCTCCTATATGACAGGCACTGTTCTAGGCACCAGGACTACAGCATGAATAAAATAATCTCTGTCTTTATAGATCTCACATTCCATTGGTAGAAACAGACAAACAAGTAAATATATAATAAAATGATTGGTAGTGATAACTGGTACAAAAAATAACACAGGATAAGAGGACAGAGATTGACAGTCAAGCTATTTTTAGATTGGTCTCCCTGAGGAAGTCACATTTCAGCAGAAACTTAAATAAAGTGAAATAATAACTGGCAAATTAGCAGGTAAAGACTGATGCTGGAATTTAACGTCATACTAAACTTTCACCTCTATAAATGTTCTTCCTTTTCAATGCTCTTGAGCTGGGAATGAATATATTTTTTGTAAAATGAATTATTTTAAATACATCATGGCATCTTACTATTGAAAAGAAAATTTTTGCTAAGGTCACGCATCTTTTTACAAAATGAGTAGTCAGTCTTCATGACTGAATCATATTCCACATATTAGGTCTGGTCAGAGGGAAATTATTCTAAAAAGGTTCACAATGCTTTATGAAAGAGCTTTATAAAAGATCAGGCCATTTCAGGGTAATTATACACTATCTAGAACAGCTTTCATGGCCATCTTCAGAAAGCAAATAATTTAGAAATAATTTCATCCAATTCCCTCATTTTACAAATGGGAAAACTGAGGCAACAGAGAACATGATCCATCCAACGTAACAGGCTGACTGAGTGGTAAAACAAGGACCAGTCCTCATCCTTATCAGTTTCTTCCCTGTGTCACAACTTTCTACCAAAAGGTCACTCCTCAGTGCTTTAATAATATATCCCGAGGGGCCAAACAACAAGACAGCAACTATTCTGAACCACTGCCTGTTAGGAGTTCTACCATCTGGCCTCAAGTTCACGCCAATGATTTTCTGATGCTACATCTGGTTTCTTTTCACACCCCTGGCTTTGAGGAAAAGGTATGCCTGACTCCTTTCTAAATTCAGCTCCTCTACCTGTGCCTTCCACCCTCTCCCCACTCATTCCCACAGGGCCCTTGCCTCCCCCACAGACTCCCTTTCTTGCAGCTTCTCCCTACCTTCAAATAGAGAGGGCAGCAGACTCTGCCAAGTGGCATATGCTACTCCTCGTCTTTGAAGGTAACTTCATTCAAAAAATCAGTTCCTGCTGCCTCCATTTATGCTACCTTATGATCTATCTGCCTTCTATCCTCAATCTGCTTCTGGAACTCCTCTCTTAATGATCATACAGCTTCCTATTTGCTCAATTAAACGCTCTTCTCTTACTCTGTATTTTGATCCTTCAGCAATACCTGAAACCAGCAACTACCACTTCCTTTGAGAAGCATCCTTACCCTTGGCCACAACATCCTGACTCTCTTCCTGCCTCTTTGACAGATCCTTCGCCACAGTGAAAATCAAAATCAAAGCATGAAATGGTCCATTAAAAATTGACTAAGAAGACATGACAGTAAAAAAAAAAGAGCAACATTAGTTTGAGAAAAAAGTCAAAATATAAGAATACATTCAAGATAATTAAATTTGTAAAAGATTCAAAAACAGGCAGACCTAAACTATTTTTAGGGATTCATAAATAGGTGATGAAACCATAAAGGAAAAAAACCAGAAATTGCTATCATAAGCTTTAGGACAGTAACACTCTGAGGAAAGGCAGAGAATTGTGATTGGGAAGCTTCTGGAGTTCTGGCATTGTTCTCTTTTTTGACCTTGGTGGAAGTTACATAGATTTTCACTTTATAATTATTTGTTAAACTGTACATGGTCTATGTAATTTTCTAAATACATGCTATATTTCACAATAAAAAAGATTAATTTTTTTTAAAAAGCCTGTAACTTGTATGAGGGTACTTCCAAAAATTCATGGAAAAGTGAAATTAAAAGATAATATAAATTTTTTTGAAGACCCCTCATACTCAAAATTTCACTATTGTCTAGACAGTTCCAATTCACATAGCTTACCCCACAAGCTTAAAGATGACATGGATAACTGAAAATGGGTTGCTAAAAACTTTTTATTTCAATCCCAAACTACAATCAACCCCTTCCTTCCAGACAGTGGGGAAATTACATCACCTATTTTTTGTGGCAAAATACAAGAGAGTAACTTGGAAGCCAAAAGCCATGCATGCAATTGGTGGGATAAAAACAGGCAGCCTCATGTTTCTGGAAGTAAGAGAGATTTCGAAATAAGGATAGAAAGTTAAGAGGATGATCATAGAGTCCCTTTTAAAAATATCCTGGAAGAGATTTAGAGGATCCCAAAGCTGGGATAGAGGATGACTGCTTTAACTCCAGGTCCACCAGGGACCTTTCCTGGGACTCTGGACAAATCACATCACTCCACCTGTCTGGCTTCCCTCCTGTAATATGGACACATCAAGAAATACACTTCTGTTCTGCCAGACATTTAGAGATCATGACAAGAAGATCTCAAGGAAAGAGAGGCTGCATCTAAACTTGCATGGTGAGTTGTGGAGAAACTAAGGCCAAGGGCTTCTTGATTCCCACTATCCTTACCACCCTTCATGAGAGAGGGCTGACTAGGTTAAGCTGCAATAACAAACAACCCCAGATCTCAGTGGCTTGAAGCCAGGATTTCTTGCTTGCTCTTCATCTCCATCTCATCTGCATGCTGGGATCTGCTAGAAGCAACTCCATCTCAAGTTTTACCAGTTGCCGTGGCAGAGGCCTAGGGAGCATGTAACTGCACACCGGCTCTTAATTCTTCAACCCAGGAGAGACTGCATCACTTCTGCTCATGTGCCATGATCAAAGCCAGTCATTTGGCCAAACCCATCTTCAAGGGAATGGGAGGTAAAAAAAACCACTCTGTGTTTGTGAAGAGAACTGAGGTATGTGGTGGGCAGTATTAATGACCACCTTGGGTTTCTCTCATCAACAGATGGCAACAGGTAAATGCCCTGGACATCTGAGGGCAGTAATCTAGAGTCTTTCAACCCTAGAAATGATCCAACAGCAAATCTCTACCAGCCTCTTCTGTAGCAGATCTCTTCCAAGCAGGAGAGACTACATTGAAAATCAGAGAAGAGGAGGGAAGTGGGGGAAGAAGAGCAGCCACACACTCCCTTTACTTAGGACTGAAGACAGTGATCTCCTGACACTCTGGTTCCTAAAGCCCAGCACTGTTCTGCATCCTCCTTACTGGACCACGTGGCCAACACTGACAGGAACTGCTGTCCAACAGAGATCAGAAGGCAATCAGAGAGCAGCAGGTCTTCTCTCCCTCTCACCTTCTTTCTGTTTCCTCCACTGGAACTCCAGCACCACATCATCGTGCCCCACAAAGGTATGCACAGGGGTGTTCAAGTCAAAGACGTTCCACAGGAGAAGGCTATTTTCCCTCCGCAGCTGGGGAACCATCACAGTCACTAATCCGTTGCTGAAAGGCTATGGCAAGAAAGGGAAAAGCAGGAGATCACTCCAGGTAGAATCAGCTAAGTCTTGAGTTTCCAAAGCTGGAATTCTCCCTAACTAAAACAATTAAAGATGATGGAAGGTCCCAAACCATCTGGGGAAAATTTTTCTAAACACCATAAGCTGACTACCACATCTATCCTTCTCTTTGCTTATGGAAGGGACCACAGCAAGTAAAAAGTAAGGCCAAGCCAAATGCTTGGAGAAGAACTTTTAAGATTCCAAAATAAGCAAATGGCTCTGACTGCTGTGCATTGGAACACACTGTTTCACATCCCAGCTACTCTCCATGAGTTCTCTCTCAAGAGTTATTGAGTTTGGGGCTGGCCGGTTAGCTCAACTGGTTAGAGTGCAGTGTTTTATAAAACAGTAAGGTCAAGGGTTTGGGAGGGCAGGATCCCTGTACCGGCCAGCTGCCAAAAAACAACAACAAAAGGACTTATTGTGTGCTTAGAAGCTAGAAAAAAGTTGATCTCATAGAAGTAGAGAGTGGAATAGTGGTTATTAGAATCTAGTAAGGGGAGGAGGTAGGGCAGGATGTGGAGAGAGTGGTAAACAGTTGCAAAACTGGAGTAAGATAGGGAGAATAAGATCTAGTGTTCTATAGCAATATAAGGAGACTCCAGTCAACAACAAATTACTGTATAACTTAAAGTAACTAGATGTGGGGTGGCCAGTTAGCTCAGATGGTTAGAGTGCAGCTTTATAACACCAAGGTCACAGGTTTAGATCCCTGAACCAGCCAGCTGCCAAAAAAATAAATAAATAAAAACAAATAAATAAAGTAGATAGTTGAGAGGATTTTGAATGTTCCCAACACAAAGAGGTGACAAATGTTTGAGGCAATGGATAAGTTAATTGCCCTGGTATGGTCATTGCATACTGTGTAATTGTACCCAAATATTACATTGTACTCCATAAATATATACAATTATCAGTGGGTCAATTAAGAAATAATAAATTAAAAAGAAAAAAATTTGCGCCGCTTGGGAGCACGGCGGCGCTCCCGCCAAGGGTTTGGATCCCACATACTGACTGGTTCCCGCTCACTGGCTGAGCGAGGTGCGGGAGCAACACCAAGGGTTGTGATCCCG